TCTAATGGAAATGGATCTTCGCTCGAAAGGACAAATTTCATTCTGCGATGCAGCAACCAGCGCCTTAGAGGTGAAATGCACTGAAAAGCTGCGAACACAACGGACATCGGAAACGTTCAGCAATCGGGAACTGCTGAGAGTGATAATCGCAAGCATCGTTTTCTTCAGCCGTATCCTCGAATGTTATTATGAGGAATTTCTTTTGTAGGTTTGATCCTATTGCTGTAGATACTGATATTGCTGTCCCTGTAGAAGCAGGGCTAAATGCTATCTCTTATCAAACAGTACTTCATAATTTTGAAAAATAGTGTCAATGTCGTTCATCCTATTTTTACAGGTTTTTTGTGTAACATCATTTGCAGTATGGTTCCTGCGCTAGCCAAGAACGTTGCTGCAACCTGGCATAAGGAAACGAGCAGTTCTTTGTGACAATAAAAGATTGTCAGTTGAATTCGAATTATTCCCAATGAAACACCAGTGTTTAACTCTAAATAATTCGAAAATTTGCTACAACACAGTTCTGTTATGACCTTTATGCTGTATGAAACAGCGGCATATTCAGTAACTTTTTTTGTCTGTTGTCTGTTGTCAAATCATACCTGAAGCTGATATATGCTATTTAATAATCATTTGCCTGTTAAGTTTGAATTATGTTGTAAAATTGTTTTAGTCGGCCCTCCGTACACGTTTCGGTTTCGAGTAAAGTTTTATTCTTCAGAACCTAATAATCTTCACGAAGAAATCACGAGGTGCATTAAATTGAGCAAAATTGCTGTACATGAATCGACGATTTGATTTTCAGGTATTTGTTGTTTCTCCAGTTAAAGCAGGACATCCTGACTGGTAAACTGGACTGTCCCTACGAAACTGCGATCGAGCTGGCTGCCTTGGCCTTGCAGTGTAAGTATAGATGAAATTTGTCGTTGGTTCGTTGCTGACTAGAAAATTTACACTTTTCCGACGTTTAGCCGAGCTAGGCGACTACAATGAAAACGAACACACGCCGCTACTGGTATCCGAATTTCGTTTCGTTCCTTATCAGACCGAGCAAACAGAACTGGACATTTTAGAAAAGTTCAAAACCCTAAAGTGAGTGACGATGACTAAACGTTTCCTGCCTGTGTAATTAATGCTTCAGTCTGTTTGCTTGATTAACATAGAGTTAGTTTTTGACATCTTTTCGTTTCAGAGGTCAGAACCCTGCCCAAGCAGAACTGAACTACTTGAACAAGGCCAAGTGGTTGGACATGTACGGCGTGGACATGCATACGGTGATGGTTCGTTGCTTTAGTTTTGGTTGTTGTTGACAGCAGTCCAGCCTTACGACGTTTCTAGGGAAAAGATCAGAA